AAAAAGAGACGTCTGCTCTCACTGGGATAGACTATTTAAACTTAGGCCTATGCTTTGAGATTTATGACTCCTTTTTTCCCCTTAGATCTGTATGTATCAATATCCAAAAGCAATTTTTCTTGAACACATTTTACTTTGAATTTAAAATATGCTTTTGACGTGTTTTACTTAAGAAGGCACAGACACAGTACTACATTCATTATTTAGACTAGAACTTATTTTGCACTTGATGTAAGAAAAAAAAAAAATCCTGGCACACTTGTTCAGGATAATTGCATGGAGTGAAATGAATCCAATTTATGTAAAGGATTATTGAAGGAATAGAAAACCTCCAAAGTAAGAGTGCTAAATCATTCATTCAGTGACTGATTGACATTTGCCCAGATCTGGATCCAGTGCTTTGCCAGGTTTTAAAGCAAAGCAAAGAAGCAATTATTTACAAGTGATGGTGAAAAACGGTATTAAAAGAGAAATCCTGGAGGGTGAATATATTTTAAGTGATTATTCTCTCAGCCTGTGTCTCCACCTGGGAACCTTCGACATTCTATCATTGAAAGATAAATGCAATGTCAATAATGTCAATCACTTCTTTTTGAATAATTACCTCTCTTATTCTTTTAACAATTTCTACCTTACTTTATGACTAAACATTTTGCTATGTACTAAATGGGTGCAGTTAGGCTTACAGTCTAAGTCCGGGAATTAGGCTCTTTTGAGAATATTTATTCTGAATCTTTTATATTTCCGGTTAATGTCTAAATGCATCTGATGCTTAAAAAACCTTGATGTGAAGAAATCATAAATTTAAATCTTTCCCTCTCCTCTATTCACAAAAAGTCTAAAATTTATAAAGAGGTAAATGCAACATTTTCATCAGTTAATTATTCTCTAGGTTTAATAACAGAAACACTTCAGGAAATCAAAAAAGGAGGAAAAAAAGCATCTTTAGTTGATTCCTCAGTGAATTCCCCCCCAGATTGTAAAAACCTTGTTTTTATGTTTTCCATTTGGCTGTTTCAGAAGATACACACATGAAATCCAGGACATAGACACATGAAATGCTAATAAGTAGGATGATATTAAAATATCCCTACTTTGCCAGTATGGGACAAAGGCAGTCTATCAGGGGAATAAACACAAATGTGAATAAGGGATTTTCAGCTTTGCAAAACTTACAGACTTTATTTGCCTTGGAGAGAGCCCCTGGGCAGGGCTTCCTGAGACAGTGCCTGTTGGGATGTTGATGGGGCTTTGAAACAGGAGTGTTATGCAGAACCCCCACCTGTAGTGAATGTGTGGTGCTCGGGGGAGAAGTGCTCATGGAAGAAGTGCTCACGGATGATGTGCCTCCTAGCGGCAGGGTCTTCTGTGCAGCCTCCCAGGGATCAATATTACAGTTAGTCAAAACACATGGGTCCTTTGGAACCAGTGATAGT